GGGGGGCCTCGCCAGCTCTCGGTTGTCTTAAGACACAAAGTTTTGTGAAGTTCGAGGAAAGTGAGAATTTCACACAGAGAGGCTATTCCTTTTAATATTTTAAAGTATCTTTATACTAAGTGCTTGAAGCTTGTTTTCCCAATCCCTTTACATGTATTTATGAAACTACAGACTTATGAGTTTTATGAATGAAATTAACACGGAAGTTCGCATATGTAACTTTCACTTACAATCTCTTGTTTCTGTTTCTTTTCAGTTTTTCTGGCTCTCCCTCAATGTATGGCTCTTCTGGAAAACCTTCCTGCTCTATTATCAAGGGCTACAGTATTATTATTTGTATCAGATGTTAGGGGTGAGTGACCCGGACATTACTTTTTGCCCTGAAAATTGGGATGCTGGGAGATGGGAAAGGGGCAGAATGCATTTGCTAATAAGGATGACACAAACTGTCTGTTAACTCTTCAAAGTGGGAAAAGATCAAGTAAGAAGTTACTGGGATACTTCTGACAGTTGTTTAGGAGTAGAAAGTGAACACTGTTGAGAAGAAAAAGAACCAGTCAAGTGTGGGACAGCTATTCTTCCCCCTCTTCTCCTCCTTCATGGTGTTCCCAGCTGCAGACAGGCTCACAGGAACACAAACATGCCCAACAGATGACCGGAGCTTCACTTTTCGTCATCAAAACATTAGCCAAGCTATGGGCTCATGATGGCAAATTCTTTCTAATCCATTGTATTATATATATTTGCTGAAGGACTTCTTTAATAAGTGTTAGTTCTTTTCAGTCTTTGTCATTCTCATAGATCCTCCGTTCTGTGTAAATCACTGTAATCTATAGAATTTTAGTTTTGTTTTCTAATAATAAATTCTTGGATTCTGAATGGTTGAATGAGGATTTGAGTAGTTTGATCTAGCAAGGGCAATATCCACCGCCAACAAATGAACCCAAAAAGAGAACTTGGAGAAATTGGATACTGGTCTCTCTTGGGAAGTTATCCACAGCTACACCATTTCAATTGTTTGAAAAATACTTCTATCCAAAGGGATAGACTTAGGGTCAAAAGTTTTCTGAAAAATGCTCAAAAGTTTCTCAGAATTTGAGAGTCCAAGAAAAAGTGACTGCATAACACAATGTTTTGTAACACTATGTCATACTCAGGAATGGATTTCAATGGAAAGTTGACATGGGATTAAAGCACAGATGATGTGCATTCTAATCTGCTGCAGAGTCTCTGGGTTTTATTTTTAGTAGATCCAGGTTATATATTTTCACATGGTTGATATCGTTGTCATAGCTATCCAGTTCCATAAGGTTTTGTGATCTTGCTTGAAAGTAAGTTGACTTGATAAAATTCTCTTTTTTTTCTTTCTCCTTATGGTTGATTCAGATGCATTCAAAAATGAATCTTAGAAAAAGTAGTGCAAAAAAGAAGGGAATGAAAATACTTAAATCCTTCACAGTGATGGCTTTCTTGTCAGAAAAAGTGTGAGAATGTGTTTAATTTTACCTTGATCTCTAATGGCTTTGCAGCCCAGTGTATCCATTTGAAACTGTGTTTATTCCTGGCAGAGCAAGTGGGTTGTTTGTAAAGCAAATCTTCTTGGGTAACATGTTGGGACAGATTGTCAGCTGGTATCAATCAGCAAGTTTTTCTCAATTCAGATGACTTGACTGCCTTGTACCAGCTCATGGTCTGCTCTTTTGTTTGTTTGTTTATTTTCTTATACTTCAAAATGAAAGACACATACAAAGTAATTTAATCTGTGTTCAGAACCTTTGAGATGATTCAGGCAACAGATTCCTTGTTTTGGTCAGGAGATGAGGGTCAGGAGGTTATGCTTTTGAGTTTGTCTAACTGTGTCTGTGGGAAAAAGAACCACAGAAATTTGGAGACATTCTAAAATGAGGTGGAAAGGGAAGAGCTTTGGTCAAAATTCTGAAACTAATTTTAAAATTTTGAAAATATTAAAGACTGTAAAATGCTCTTGCAATTCACTTTTGACAGTTTGTCTAAATATCATCAGTAGACCCTGAAGTTATCTTTCTCCCTTCTCTTCAGTGTATTTGTATATGTGTATTAATCATACAGATTATTTTGCAGGGGTTGGGACAACTGAACTCAATTTAATTTCTTAGGAAATGACATATGCATATCTATACTACAGTTTCTATTACCTTCCAGAGTGATTTTTACCCCTTTTCTTCTTCTCTGTTGGTTTGTGTAGCCACTGGCCCATGGCACATCTGCTTAACCAGTCTTCTCTCTGTTCTGTATACGTGTGAGTGGTTTGCCTCTGTGCCATTTCTTGATGTCTGATAATTTTGAGATTTAAAGTCTTCATTTATAATTCAACAGCTGATATTTCTTTTCTTAACAGAATGAACTCTTTTTTAGATACTTTCATGACAAGTGAGTCCTTTTTCCAGCCAGTAAACAAAAAATGCCAAAAAGATGTGGCGATTTTTGAATAAAAAAAAGTTGCTCTTGTTTTTCAGTGAGGTCGGCTAAGGAATTTTTTTCCTCTTACTTTATATGCTACAATAGCCTAAAATTTCCTTAGGATCTTTTGCACTTGCAGCACTGAAAGATTTAGCACAGGTAACTTCGTTTACCACGTAACAGAATGTAGAACAAGAAGAGTTGCTGTAGGAAATCAGATTGTGATATGAAATGAGACATTGGACTGAATATCCTGAATATATTCAACTCTGACATGTTTTCATGCCATGTCTTTCTGATGTGAAGAAGGAGAAAGAATGAGGTTAGTCTTTCATTCAGTGGTCACCGGAGTGATTTACTTCGTCTGTCTACAGAAGAACGAGGCTCAGTTTTATTCTTTTCCAGTTGTATTCTCTGTGATGTTGAACAAAATACTTATCACAGGATTTTAAAATTGTTTAGGTACCTAACTCGCATTCAGTCCTGCAATGACAATTGTTCTGATCCTTAATTCTATACCTGTAAAAAGGCACTAGAAGCATGGTGGTGTCCTGTAAGTGCAAAGTGAACAATTAAGTCAAAGACGCTAATGTGCTAGAAGGAAGTTAGTCAGACTATTATATACTACAAAACTTAGTGCGTAAATTTGTTGTGTCAAATATCTCTGCTTTGCTCAATTTGAGTCCTGTTGATGAGACCATCAACTCTTCATTTTGAAATCTCCATACCCGGGTGTTTTTAAAACCCAATTGAGCAAAAAACCCTGACCAAACTTAATCTGAGTTTGGTGTTGAACATACTTAGAGCAGGAGGTTTGAATAGAGACATCCCAAGGTCCCTTCCAACCAGAATAATTCTGTGATTATATAATGCTTGCAGTGAAAGTTCATCAGAACCTAGTGGATGTAAACCCCTTTCTGATACTTTTGCTTTGATGAACTATCCCTTTGGATACTGAATTTCTTTTAATGCTTCTGACCATAGTCTTACTGTATTAATGCATTCATTGCCACTGGTTCAGGAACATTATTGAGATAAAGAATCTCAATGTTTTATAATTCGATAAATATTAACTTGTGGTCTTCTATTGCTTAAAGAAGAGAAGTCTTTGAAGAAACACCCAAAAGACATAGATTTCTTATAAAAGAGTGTGGCAAAGAGGAAAGGAATATTCTCATCTTCATGTTCATGACAGATACTACAACATGTAGTCGGCAGGAGTTACAAGAAAGGGAGAGTCGTAAATGACTTGACATGACTCCAAAATCTTCATTGTTGGAGGTTGTGTGTCTGCTCAATCAGAGAGATTGTCCAGATGGTTAATTTATTTACAGACTTGAGGATTTCTCCCTTCAGATTAGCTCGGCTTGCACCTGACCAAAAACTTCAGTCCTAAATTTGGTACTGGCCTTATAGAACTCGAGTCTTGCTTTTAACAGCATTGAATAAAATAACTTTTCCTTGTTGCTTGTGTTCCCCATGAACAGGAAGAGCTTTGGGCTCACTTTGTAATGGCACAAAAGGTCTCTCTTTCCCTATTCCCTCTCTTGTCCCTGCTCAAATAACTGTAATGTTGTCAAATGTTAATGCAAGAGATAACCTTCCGAGTTTCAGACCAAAGTGAAGAAAGTACACTGTTGGAAGGATCTCTTTGAGAAAAGATTGAATAACTGAAAATGGGATTGAAAAGGAAAAGTGGTGCCTCACTTTTTTTTCTGTATGGTTGCTGCCTTCTTACTGTGCAGTATTGTACATAGCATTTCTCGTCTTTATTCACTTCTTGGAATATATTCCAGATGTTCCAGTAATGTTTCATGTCTTTCCTTGCTAGTTTATCGTGACAATAGAGATTTTCTTAATTGAGGCCAAATTCTGTTTTCATTGATCGTTATGCAACCTCACTGCAGCCTGCTTACCCTCCACATTTAAGCATTGGAGAGAGTTGTATATCTTGATTCCTTATTTTCCCCAATGCAGTGTGCTTTTGTGATTTAGTTGTCTTTTAATCAGGCTATTTAGAGTGTTACATGCAGCAAAAATGTCTAATAATAGATTTGTGTTGCTATGGAAGCTATATATATAGATATATATACATATACAGAGTTCCCTAGTGAAGACTGAGGGTGTTACAAGACTTTATCTTGATAGTCCCCTTGAATGTGCAAGTAAATCTCTTCCTGTATTCTCTTTACCTCATTGTAGATTTTTTTTGTTTTCCAAAACATTTTTCCTTCAACCCTTTGTCCTCCACAACACACATTTCAGCATCATTGCTGGAATTTGTTCTCAGCTGTAACCGGGGATGAACTTGGGTTTTGCACCATATCTCTTCTGTTTGCTTGCTTTTTTATTTTTTTTTTTAAGTTCAAATGACAATTACCCAGTGAAGGTCACATATATTATTAAGTTTTATGGGAAAACTTTCGTGTTTGCAACACTTCTTCTGAAAACTGTCAATATTGCAGGTTGAATTAGTAGGAGTATATCTCAAATGATTAACTGAAATTTTTACTACTGTATCATCTAGACATGTTAAAAATAGTCTTGTTTTCAGCTCTGTTCTACATAGAGTGTGATGCCATGATCATCTTAGAATGAGGAACAGAGCTGAATTATGGTCAAAATGTTTCTTTGCTTGATTGTTCTTTATATTATGTATTACTGCAGATTTTCTATGCTAGTCCAACAATGGTAGGTCTTGAAATAAAATACCTGCATTACACTCCAGAAGACTGGTTTCACAGATGGTATTACCTACTGTGTTATGATAAGGGAAAATAATTAAACATAAAGGAAGCCCTTAGTAGCAGACATTGCATCACTTTGGTGTGACTATGACTCAGATAGGACAGGAAGCAACTTTCTGCTCTGGCCATGACTTGCAGTGTGTGAATCTCTTGGAGGTACTTAGGT